CAACAATGACAACTGCAACAAAAAAATAGCTGGGCCTTGTGGCTGGTGCCTGTAGTCCCAGCTGCTTGGGAGGCTGAAGCAAGAGAATCTCTTAAGCCCAAGCAAGAGTTTGAGGTTGCTGTGAGCTGTGATGCCACAGCACTCTATCAAGGGCGATGTAGTGAGATCCTGTCTCTAAAAAAAGAAAAAGAACAAACCTACAGAAACTATCTCCTTAGTGACCCAGGGCCTACCTGTATATCAAAGGGCAGCATTATTAGCAACAGCAAGGTGTGGAATCAACCTAAATGCCCATCCGCCGGTGGATAAAGACAGCGTGGGCATAGACATCCAAACAGGGGAACCTCATTCAGCCCTAAGAAGGAGTGAGATCCTGCCACTCCTGACAGCACGGATGAAGGACTTTATGTGAAGCCAAGTAAGTCAGGCACAGAAGGATAAACAGTACACTCCTTCACTCACATGTGAGAGCTAAGAAAATTGAGCTGGTGGATGTAGAGAGTGGAAGGGTAGGTACGAGAGGCTGGGAAGGGCAGAGGTGGAGGAGGATGGTTAATAGATAAAAAAGCTGGGTCGGGGGAGTGAGGACCGACTGCCCTTGGGGGTGAATTTGGTTAACTTATTGTGTATTTTCAAAAAGTAGAAGAGAGTATTTCAATGTTTTTAACACAGATGATAAATGTTTGAGGTGATAGGTATGCTAGTTACCCTGATTTGATCATTATACATTATATATACATATCAAAATATCACTTTTTGTCCCATAAATATGTATAATTATCTATGTGTCAGCTAAGAATAAAAGGGGAAAAAGTAATGGAAAATGTGCTCACAGATCTCAGTAAATGTATGTAAATAAATCTGCCAAGCAATACAGTTGGCCTGTATGGATGGAAGTATTAACATTTTCTAAAGGACATAAAATGATATTTGAGTAAATGTCAGAACAAGAAATGTTACAACTAAAGCCAGCTTGGTGAGTACCGGCATACGTGTGGTGCAGGTGCATTTGATAAGGGTGTGTCTCAATTTATAACCATGGGTCTTGAATGAGATTGGGAACCTTACCTTTGGTCACATTCTTTTGTGTTGTCTAAATTTTTAAAGAGTACGTGTTTGTATATAAATGCTATATAAATCCTTAAAAAAGAAGGTATAATTTATATTTTAAAAAGTTGGTCTTTGTAACTACCATCTATAATGCCCCCAAATATGCTTGCAAGTATCTGAATTTAGATATCTTATGCAGTAATAAACTATTACAACTCTGCTCTTTTTGCCAGAACATAGTAAAGCAAACGAAGTGTGCTTCATTCATTTCCCACTCCCTGTGCTGCTGGCTTTCATCAGAACAAAGAAACTTCAGGCCCTTAAAGAGCTTTTCTCATCCTAAGCGCTACGTAGTAGTTGTTTAGTTATTTGTGCCTCCTTATTACCCAGACCTACTGAATAAAAAGTACATATTCCTCTAACTAATTTTCAACAAGGGATAAATCCTGACTTTATAGAATCTTCGTTCATAAGTAGAAAACAACTAGGGGTAAAAGCAGCACTCTGGGAGGCCAAGGCAGGTGGATTGCTTGAGCTCAGGTGTTTGAGACCAGCCTGAGCAAGACCAAGATCCCATCTCTACTAAAAATAGAGGTGTTGTGGCTGGTGCCTATAGTCCCAGCTACTCAGGAAGGTGAGGCAAGGGGATCTCTTGAGCCCAAGAGTTTCAGGTTGTTGTGAGCTCTGATGATGCCATGGCACTGTATCCAGGGTGACAAAGTGAGACACTTGTCTCCAAAAAAAGAAAAAAGAAAAAACAGCCCTGCAAAGGTGAACACTGGCTCAGAAGACGTGGTCACTCCTGGTATGTTGTAGCATTTGCTGTGAGAGTGAGTGAACATCGCCACAGAGTAAGGCGCCCAGACACCTCTCCAAACAGCAAAGAAAATTCGTTCATCTCCACCACCTGCTGGAGGCCCCAGAGTTCCTGTAACTGCTTTCTGTCTCCATTTGATCCTTACTTAACCTGTCTCGTGTTATGTTGGCTCGTAAGTCAACCCTGGTACACGCTCAGAAGTTTGACTTTGATTCTCCTTCTGGCACTGAGTGGCCTTTGCGGTTATACCCCTCTGCATGTGAGAGATACGGCCCTGTCTCCAATGTGACATCAGCCTGTCGGGGGTTTCCACCTCTGCACTCCTGTGGGGTTTGCTGTCTGTAGCGTGCAGCCTCATGGGTGGTTCTCCAGCAGTTCATGGTGTGAAGGGGCAGGGAGCACTGCTGTGTCTCCCAGAGTGTCTGACGCAGAGCTGGACAAGAGCAGGCTTAGTAAGGAAGGGAGTGGAGAGGAAAGGGGGCGGAAGGTGTGTGTCTGCCTCTCAGCCCCAAGACCATACCCTTTTTCCATCTCCTTTAATACTTACGAAAATATTAGGCAAACATGGAGTGTGCGGGGTGTGCTTATGGCCTGAGGCCTGAAGTTTTATCTAGTTCATAGATTATCTCAAAATGATACAATTGCTATTCACTTGAATTTCGTAGAGCCCAAAGGAAGTAGTATTTTCTGTCAATATTACTGAAATTTTATTTATACTGAATTGGAGGTATCTCTAAATTATTTTTAAATTGTCCCCTCAGAACTGCAATCCTCATTTCAGAGGACAAAGCTCCAAGCTGGCGGCTCAATGAGAACAGTCGTGACAACAGAAATGTATGTAGCTGTAAGACGTAGAGACTGTTATGAGGGAAGTGCTAACAATGAAATCTCAGAAATGATTGCAGTGCTGCAGTGAACAAAAGCGCATTCTGACCAAGGGCAGTGGCACTTGACCTCCTGACTGAGGTTGGAAAGTACCAGACTGCACTGATAACTGTTTTCTCGTAGGATTTGAGATTAGATTAGGCAAGTCCTTCAGCTTAGTACACCTTTCTTAAAATTACACACACATTTTAGAATCAGCTTGTCTGGTTCTACAAAGACATCTGCTAGAATTTTGATTGGGAATACATTAAATCTATAGATTACTTTGGAAAGAATTGCCATCTTAATGCTATTGAGTCTTCTACTTCATGGATAAGGAGTATCTTTCCAGTTATTTACATGTATGTGATTATTTTTCAAGTTTTATAGTTTTAATTGTAAAGTACTTAGTTGTCTTTTGCTACATTTCTGTTAGGTATTTGTTTTACTGGTGCTACTGTAAATGGAATTTATTTTCTAATTATTTGCTGCTAACTTACAATACTTTCTTATGTATTAATCTCTTTTCTTAAAACCTTGCTAAATTCATTTATTTGTTGTAGTTCTAGTTATAAAAATCCTCTGAGCTTTTATGTTATATATAAAAAAAATCAGATCTGTAAAAAATGTATTTCTTCTTTTATGTCTTGTTTCCAAGTATAGGACTTCTAGAACAGAGATGTTTTTGAGTAGAAGTATTGAAAGCAAGCATCCGTACCTTGATCTTGGTGGAAAATGATTTAGCCTTTCACCATTAAGTGTGATGCTGGTGATTGAATTTTTTGTCTGTGCCCTTCGGAAGATTGAGAAATTCCTTAGTATCTCTAGCTTGCTGAGAGTTATATCATGAATGGGTGTTGAAAATGCTTTTTATAATAACATCAACTGGAATCATCATCTGTTTTCTTCCTACATTCTGTTAATCTAGTGACTAACATTGATTACTTTTCAAATGTTAAAGCAACCTTGCGTTACTAGAATAAACTTTACTTGATCATGAGGTGTTATCATTTTTATATATAACCCGCTGTAGCCATGGATTCCACCAACAAAGATGGAGAAAGATGGGTAGTTGTATGTACAGAACCTGTACAAACTTTTCTCTTTGTCGCTGTTCCCTGAACAATACAATACCACAAGCATTTATATTATATTAGGTTTTATAAATAATCTAGAGATGATTTAAAGTATACGGAAGGATGTGTATAGATTATATACAAATACCATACCATTTTATATCAGAGTCTTAAGCATCTTTGGATTTGGGTATCTGAGGGGTTCTGAGACCAACCTCACACAGATACTGAGTGACAGCGTGTGTGAATTTGATCACTGAATGTCCGCCCCACTAGAATCAGGCTTCATTTTGTTCACTGCTGCCTTCCGTGACAGAAAATCATGATCAGAAAAGACATCCCTGAAGAGAGGGAACTGAGGGTAAGAATGAATGAAGAGGGGCCAGTTGTACAAAAGTGCAGGACACGCCAGGCCAGGGGAGCAGCTGCAGACTCTGTGTGGAAACACGCTCACCTCATTTAGGAACTTGTGTAGCCCTTGGGGACAAAGAGAACCCAGTATACCTGAGACCAGTATACTCAGGATGGGAGGGAGAACAACATGAGTTGGAGCCAGGGACGGACCAGGTCAGCAGGCCAGATTCACCTGTGCCTGTAGCAGTCGAGTAAGAAGTGCTGACTTTTCTGACGCCTCAGCCATTTCCAACCTTTAGGACACTCTAGGGATGGTCTTTCAGAGCTACCAACCACCCACTTTTACTTAATTAACTAATTAGCTATTTAAATCTAATTACTTTCAAATTTTAAAAGTATATAGAATGGAAAATTTGTTTTCTTGTGACACTAGTCACCTTGCAGGTGTCTGGGCAACACAGAATCAGAACATTTTATCACAGAAAGTACTGCTGGACAGTGCTGCTGTAAGCAAGCCAGTCAAAGGAGAAATAATGCCGGGTTTGCTCAGCCTCTCTCCTGTGATGTTCTCTTTTAACCCTAGAATTAATGTTTTTCTATTTAAATGGAAATATATGTAGTGCCTAGAAAACTAGCATGTGACCTGTTCCATATGCAAATGACTTAGGGATGATTTCTACCTAGGACAGGAAAGACGGGAAGACTGGGTACATCCAAGCATTCGCAACCTCATTGTAAATACATTGCAAATGTAAAAATGCAAAGTGTGGAAGTTATAAATGTGAAAGTGGCTTTCAATTTGTTTTAATAGGTGTTTTCTATGTCTTACTGTAACCTAGGGACCTTGCTGCAAGAAACTGCCTGGTGGGTGAAAATAATACTCTGAAAATCAGTGACTTTGGAATGTCTCGTCAAGAGGATGGGGGAATATATTCATCCTCGGGCTTAAAGCAGATTCCCATTAAGTGGACAGCCCCAGAAGCTCTTAATTATGGTAAGAATAGACTCTGTTTTTGTTTTGTGAAGATGAACTGCATCCGCACAAACATTCACAAGCAATATTGCAGGGGTAGACAGAACCAGAACAATTGGAGGATCAATGCCAGTGATGAGTAAATATTCATACCTCGCCCTGAGACAGGAGCACAGTGTGAATTCATTGAAGTTATTGATCAGATTTGTGTATGTAAGATTGCCAAATTTAAAAGGTGGATGTACTTTTAAATATGACTATATATCAGAGAGTTTTTCATTTTATAAGAAAACACTATTTTTACTTTACTTGTCACATTATGTGCAAAGTAAAAGTTGCTGTATCTCTGGACCATTTCTTTTTGAATGTCTTACAATTAGTTCAATAGCCTCTTCTAATGTTAGGCTCCTAAAATATTAAGTCAGTCAAGTCTTTAGTTTCTTACTTTGGAATCAACATGGTTTCTGCAAATCTGAGTCCCTGGAACTGGTATAAATCTTAAGGAAAGAAAGAGATGGGAACATTTAAAACAGCAGGGATTTTTTTTACTTGAATTTTTATGTGTCATGGTAATTGGAAATAAGTGCAGCTTGTGCTGTCTGTGGTTGGGATGAAACAGGCCATAACAAGGTGGATAGCAGCTCGAGAATTTAGGTGGGCGGTGGGGAGACAATATGCTTAAAGTGAAATTAGAAATTACATTTTCTTTAAGGGAAGCAGTAGCATCAATCGGTGAACAGGTATGGTATTCAAATATAAAATGATTTTCTGATTTAAAATGAAAAATTACTTCATGAAGACTTTTTCATTTTAGGTATTTATAAAGGCCTTAATGCCGAAATTAAAAACAAAACTCTTTTTTCTAATTGAGGTGAAATTCACATGCCATGAAATCAATCACTTTAAAGTGACAAATTAGTAGCATTTAGTACAATTCACAATGTGGTGCGACTGGTACCTCCATCTAGTTCCAAACATTCTCATCCTTCCAGAGTAAACCCTGCAGCATTCAGCCCTCCCCTCCCCTTCTTCCCTCCCCCAGCCTCTGGGATCCTCTCTTAGCTAGTGTGGCTAGTGCTAGCATGGGGTTCAAGTACCTGTTTTCAGTTAGTCTGGCTGTATACTAGGAGTCATATGGTAATTTTATGTTTAACCTTTTGAGAAAGTACCAAATGTCTTGCAGATAAAGCTTTTGAATGTAATTGGTGTGGAAGTTGGTTGGGGCTGGCACAGATGCCCCCGGCTACTAAGCCTCACCCTTAGTTTATCTTCCCATGTCCTAACGAGAGGCTTTGGTGAGCTTCCTTCTGATCGCAAGCCAATTCCACTATTCCTCAGAATCTAGAGGTTTTCTATACTCCATAATAATTTTTCTTCAGCATAGTGACTGTTATTACTCTAGAGTAGGATTATATTACTAAGGGGAACAGTCATAGGACCAAAGATAGGATTATAACTCTTAGATATACACATAAGATTTCAGATAACAAAACATTTTTAAGCCAAGGGAAATGTAACTGGACTTGGAAGTCCCTACAGTCTTAGCAGTAAAATCCAGCCCTCCGGAAGTGATTCTTAACCCAGTTTTCCAGATTCTCTCCATTATACAGCCAATAAAAATGTCCTTACTATTAAGCAAGTATGCCAAGTAAAATTCTGCCTCTTCATCACAGTATATTTTAGTTGAATTTCAAGCTGACTTAAACACTGTATTTATAAATCAAAATTCTAATTCTGGATCCTTCTAACAGACAGACCTGAAGGATTTTTCTTAGCAGTGAGGGACATTTTTTAGCAGTCTTTAGTAATTATATAAAACACAGAACACTTTAGACGAGAGGAGGGAGGAATTATAGCAGTAAATGAGAGGAAAGTTGGTATCCGGTCCAATGAGGGAGTTTCTAGAAGAATCTACAGTCTTTCTCCTGGCAACCTTGGGAAGTTGTTTTAGTTCTCACAGACTAAAATCACTGATGATTGGCCTTAAATGCAAGCGTTTTTTAATAAGAGAAAATATAAATATCTTATGAAAGTCCTTATTTCTGGTTAAACTTCTTTCATGTTTTATTTAAATATCACTTTGTAAGTGGCAGTGAGATTTTGCCTCATGTCCAAGAAAGTTTTCTTTTCCCCTCATTGGTTTCTTCACCCTCGCCTCAAAACAGGTACAACCCTGCTCACATCTCCTGGGAAATGTGGGGTCATGTGGATGGAAGAGCCCTCCCATCTGAGGAACCTCTCTGACACTTTGGCGTAGGGCCATAGAATTAAGCTTTTTTCACTATTTTTGTCATTAGTGTTGTTATTTAATTTCTGAAAAGATAATACATATCCTTGTTTTCTAAAAAATCAATACTGAAGGACCTACAATGAAATGTAAGCCCCTCCCCCCAATCTCTAGCCACGGGACTCCCCTTCCCTGAGGCAGATCCTCTCAGACCCTGGTGTTGTGACGGCTGAGGGATCTGTAAGCTCTGGAACAGGAAGGGGCAGGACTTTCAGTGAATCATGTACTGCCCATCGGAACCAGGTTTCCCGCCAACTGTGGCGTTGGCAGCCGTCCACCCCGCTGCACTTACCTTTCCAAATTTATAACACAGGAATGAAGCACATGTCCCTGCAGACATTGTGGGGATCAGATGAGACCTGGAGAAGTAGCAAACTGCTATGCAATTGTGACTCTCGGCCAGGCAAAATTGTTCAGCAAAACCAAGTTCAAATTTGGGATTACAGACTTTCACCTCTGGATTGTGATCTTGGTTTATTTGTTGATCTTTTCCCAGATGTCCCTTATGAAATATTTGACAATTTACACTTTCTTAAAATACAATTTATACTTTCTTAAAAATTACTTTAAAAAGCCATTGAACGACTTTCATGAAAAGTATTAAATTATTGGATGCCGAACATGAAAAGAGTTGATATCCAGACAAGAAAGTTAATCTCCTTCCCAAACAGCATAGTGAATGTCCGTAATTACCGCCAGCTAAGAAGGAAGCTAATTCACACAGCTGGAGGACGCCAGAGCCTTTATCACAGTGGAGGCAAAACTCATCTGTATTTTATGAAAGAAGAGTTATTTTTCTCTTTTTAAGAAAGAGAAAATGCCATCCTATTTTAAAGCAGCCTCATGTTTTTAAGGAGGGGCACTTATAAATCCTGGAGTCAAGGAAGTTACAATAGGGAGAGAATTGAAATCATTTAAGGAATCTTTAATACCATAGCCAGACATGGGGGTGACTCACACCTATAATCCTAACACTCTGGGAAGCTGAAGGAGGAGGATCATTTAAGCTCAGTTGACACCAGCCTGAGCAAGAGTGAGGCCCCACTCTACAAAAAGTAGAAAAATTAGCTGGGCGTGGTGGCAGGCACCTGTCACCCCAGCTACTTGAGAGGCTAAGGCAGGAGCCCAGGTGTTCAAGGTTGCTGTGAGCTAGGCTGAGGCCATGGCACTCTAGCCTGGGCAACTGTGTGAGACTCTGGCTCAAAAAAAAGAAAAATAATTAAAAATTAAGCACCACGGCAAATGGGGTTTAGTTATGATGAAGCATGCCCTATATGTAAAAGTAAACATAAGTGTGTTAGAAATGTCTTAGGAACTCTTAGTCTCTGAGAGGCTGGAGATCAGAGGGGATTTTTCCTCTTTCTCTCCTTGGTTTTACATCTGTCACCAGAAGACATCTTACGTTGGTTTTTATCTCTTTGCTTCTCTGGAAAAATTCTAAGAGCTTAGCTCATCCAGCTCACTCACAGGTGCACCAAGATATTTTGACAAAACAAGGCACCATGTAATTTAAAGAAGTTGTTTCTATCAGCCAGAATGTTAATTTTCACTCTATTCAAAACACATAGAAAAATATATTTTCCATAAATGAAAACTATCAGTGGAGAAAATGAGACCTTTGAGCATGTGAGAATATCTGTAAACAGTGATGAGTAAAAAATTGAAGTTAAGGAACTTTCCTTATTGCTTTAAGTTTGTTTGTAATTTTAGAGGAAAGAACATGATGCAGGCAGAGGACAAAATTGCAGGAATCCAACTTAATCTCCTAGGCATTGATGTGTACGAATTTATATCTATTTTTATATAACATTCATCTTCCTCAGATACTGCAGGAAAAGTAAGCTTGGATGCTGGCTAAATATTTGTTCTAAGGCGTGGGAGAGTTGGGAGGGAATGATTTGGAAGCTTGTTTGATGAAACTTGCGGCTTGCAGCGAATTCACTTAATTGATGAGGTGACTAGTCCAGGAATGTAACACCAGTAGGGAATAGGAAGACTAGCTATTGCAGGTGTCCTCAAACTATGGCCCACGGGTCACATGCGGCCCACCTAGGACATTTATCCAGCCCACCAGGTGTTTTTGCCACCGTTGCCAGTCCTGCTTAAAAGCCAACTCGTTCCGGGGCCCGCAGTCTGGCCCTCCAACGGTCTGAGGGACAGTGAACATAAGTTTGAGGACCCCTGACTGCTCTTGAGTTCATTTGGCAAGTTTTAATACAATCACATACCAGTTAACAGCATTCTGAGAAAGTGTTATTAGACAGCTTCCTTGTTGTATGACCGTGGTGGAGTGCACGCACACACACCTGGCTGGTGACATGGCCTATGCTGCAAACCCATACAACACGTCAGTGGTAGGTATTCGCAGATCTGAGTGTCTGTGCACAGAGAAGGTGCAGCACTGCACTGTGGTGTCAGATGGCCATGCTGTTACTAGGCATAGGAATGTTGCCATTGTATTATAATCTTATGAGACCGCTCTTATATGTGGTCCCTCAGTGACCAAAATGTTATTATGTGTCACGTGGCTGTGTATGTTAGTATGTGACTGATACAGGCCGAGACATAACCACAGAGGTCACCGACTTGTCCTCTGGGCCTCACCTGCTCATGGTGGCTGTTCCCTTCCAGGGAGATACAGTTCTGAGAGCGACGTGTGGAGCTTCGGCATCCTCCTCTGGGAGACCTTCAGCCTGGGGGTGTGTCCTTACCCCGGGATGACCAATCAGCAAGCAAGAGAGCAAGTGGAACGAGGTGAGCCAAAGACAGGGGCGGGGCAGCTCCCCCAGGGCAGCAGCGCCACTGGCCAGATGGCGCCTGTGCATGTGGGGAGGGGTGTTGACGTACCATCTGGGTGTGTATGCAGAGAGCAGAGATGCTAGATAAACCTGCTCTTGAATGCCACATAGTCTTGGACAACAAAAAACAAACACACATTTTAAAGGATTCCAACACTTTAAAAGGAGAGAGCACCAGGCTTTCCTTCCCCCATCCCTGCCTGGCGTGACCTCTGCAGGGCTGTGCCCTTTACTGTCTTCAAGGGAAATCGTTTGGGGGCGTTCCTCAACCTGTTACCTTTTACTCTACCCCAAAACACCCTCTCATAATATTGTAACTTGAAATGTGGTTAATCTTCACCCCCCCCAAGGAGTTTTTGAGGATTTTATAGTGCTTCTGAAGATACGCTGTGGTGTTCTCAAAGATGGGAATGCCCAGCTAATGGTGACACTCTACCATGTATCTGTACAGTCCGCAGTTTCAACAGGAAGAGCGCTCTGCATTAAAGGCAGCGCCCTCCCTCCACCAGAGAGAGAGGGGCGTGAGCCAGTCGGTGTGGGAGGATGCCTGCCGCGCCCTCCCACCTTCTCCTGCCGTTCACAGACATCCCTGCCACTCTGCTGGACACTGCCCAGCACCAGACCGAAAAATGAACATGACCATATTCATTTTTAGTTCACTGGTAAATTAGTGTGGATAAAATCCTTATCCTCTCTTCATCTTGAAAACCAGGCGGTAGGGATGATATTTGAAAATTCTGCTTGCAGATCTAACCTGAAAGCAAATATGAGAGCAACTAAAAGGTACATGGGGGGTGTGACACATCTCACATCACACTCTGGGACCAAGGGACTCAAAAAGGGTACTCTTTAAACTGGAAGGTGAGTCTGTGGGACCAAAATACTGAATCCTGGATCCCCTGTAGGGAAAAACAGTCAGTGTTCCCTGAAGTGGCTGTTTTATTTCTATCAACCTGTAACATAACATTAAAAAGCTGCCTAATGCACTGTGTGAATATTTAAATCTTATCTCCATTTTAAATTTTCTGTTCTTCTTCTCTTGGGACTTCAGGATATCGGATGTCAGCACCCCAAAACTGTCCAGAGGATATTTTTCAAATTATGATGAAATGCTGGGATTATAAACCTGAAAACCGCCCTAAGTTCACTGACCTTCAGAAAGAGCTCACCGCCATCAAGAAGAAACTCACATAGGGACCGACAGCGCCTCTCCCCCTGGGACACTGGCCCTGGGCAGGCGCAGAAGTGTTCTCAGTAACAGTGAATTTACGCCACATTACCTGCAACAGTCTTCTAAGGTTATTTTTTTATTAACTGGGTTTTTTAAATATGTTCTACTTTTAAAATGTCAAAAACAAAGGCAAATTTATTAAAGAAATAGCCCTACCAAGAGCTGTAGTACCTAATCATAGCAACCCTGCCGCTTCAGGCCGTGGGAAACAGAACAGCACAGGCTCTCAGCGTGTGAAGGACAAAGATCTGACTTCTTCACACCCTGACCTTGCTGTTTCTACTTCGGCCCAGGTGTGGCTGCCATCCCAGCCTCAGTCCCTACCCGGTCGGTGCCGTAAACTGCACTGGCAGGGCCATGTTTGCGGGCTCATTCCACCCCACTTGGCTTTCTACTCTCTGCTAAAGCAAGATGGTATTTGTAGACATAATTTTGTAAGGGGAATGATTTGGTCCTTCTAGGGTTTTCCTTTCCTTCCCACCAAGCCCAGGGCGCGGGTTCTCACACTACGGTGTCATTAGTAAGGCTGCTGTTTTTATCCCCCTTAGTTTGGGCTTCAGAAAATAATGCATGAAACGTCTTCAGAGAGAACACTGGTAGAGTGAGGCAGCGTCTTCTAATGGGTGTTGCGGAGAGGTGTGCTAGCAAGAAGCAAGTTTAACAAGAGGGTGGAGTGGGGGAAAGACCAGCTAGAATGGTGAGCAAAGGAGGAAAGAAAATGAAAACATAAAATCCACCTCTGGGCAGAGTTATTACGCCTTATAAACACATGTTCTTTTTATTTTATGGTCTGAATTCAGCAAAAGGGTCCTCAGAATATTTCAGGAGTTTATAGGTAAAGCCCCCATAGTGGCAACAAAGTTTTTTGTTTTGGGGGGGTTTTTTTAGAGAAAATCTGCAGAAATAACAGCACACTTCTAGTTAAGTATCTTCCTTTAGAGGAGGCGTCCTGAAGTGTAATCACCTGCATCTGCACCAGTTTTCAGGGCTGTTAGAGTTCTGTGGTTCTGTGTCTCCAGCACAGTCACGGGCACATGTGCACACACACACACAACCAAGGTGCAAAGCAGGCGTGGATGAAGTCACGTGAGCTTTAATGAGGAAGACAGGGACAGCACTGCCATCTCCACTGTCCACCTTCACTGACCTTCCCCTCCTCCTCGGACTTGCTTCTCATTAGCTGCCAGGTGTACAAGCTCGGTGCTAAAGATACCTCAGCTGGGTAACAGCTCAGAGTTAAAACTAGGGTTCCGTTGAGCTGATTCCAAGCTGTGTCCGAGGAACTTTCTCGTGATCTGTATATAGTTGCCCTCAGGATAAATACGTGTGGGAGAGCGGTCCTGCTCAGGGGTAAATGTGGCCTGGAAGCCTTTTATAAATCCTCAGGCCTGTGTCCGGATAACAGCACCGTAGTGTGAGTCTGCGGTCTGCACGCATTCTAGGATCTTGGGGAGGGACGGTTGCTCTGGCCTCTCCATGTCTTTGTTTCCTACAACGGTCACTGGCAGAGTTCCCACCGGCTCTTCAAAGAGTGTAAGAGGATGATGCTGAAGAGAAAAATGACTGGTTTCTATCATTTCAATTTCCTTGAAAAGTTTATACACATTTAATGATTATTATGTTCAGACTAAAATGAAAATGTAAAAACTTCCCCTCAAAGACATATTGCACCATACAAAGCAACATCTTTTTAATTAGCACAATTTTCTCTTTTATCAAATATTATAGATAATTGGAACTTTCTTTTGATGGCAGACACTATGCCAAATCAAAGTGCAGACTCGTGAATTGAGATTAAGTGCTGTAGTCTTGAGGCACTTGCCAGCCTTGATAAGTAGGAATAAGGGGGCATTTCTGCACTTTTGTTGGTACTACCCAGTGACTCTCTGCTTGTAATATTCTTTGTTTGGTTAAATAAAACAGTTTCCCATCACTGCTGGCCTCACACTAAGCTCTCATCAAGGAGAGAGAATGATGGTTTTGGCTTCAACATTGTGAACAAGACCTGAAGCTTAATCCTTGCATTCTGTCATAAAGAATAAACACAGCATTGATATTTCACTCCGCCAGGCTGTTAGAATTTGCAAAAAGCTTTTCAAAACATCATGACATCTGCAGCATTTAAACTCTATTTTATTCTTTGTCCCAAAACAGGTAGTGGTATAGTTCAAGATTAATAACTCATTGGGAGTCTTTCAGGATCACATCCGTTATATAGAATATTAAATTTAATATAGATACATGCATTAAGAAAAACTTATGCAAACCATTTTTCACTGTTAATTTTGTTGTGCTCGAAGGATAATTTATTCATCCCTTCTGTCACTGGTAATTATTGGAATTATGTACTTTAGGAGGCTAATCCATATCCAAAAAGCACACATATAAATACTCTTCTGAATTTGCAAGTTGATGGAGGGAAAGGAGGCTCCAGAAATACACAAAATCCTCTGACTTGTTTAGTAAGAAAACAGTTGTAATGCATTTGGAATATCCAAAATTTCCACTGGTCTGGATATAATTAAGTCCTGTCACAAAGCTCTGTATTGTTGACAGATTATCTAAACGTTACGTCTGTCACTACTCTGTAGTTCCAATGTCATATGAGGGGAGGGAGCTAAATGGGGACAGGCTGTCTCTCCCTCACCTGCATTTTTCAACCTTGAATCACCAAGAAGCCTTTGTGAGAAATATTTACAGAGTTCATTGCTTTTAAAGGAAAGACATTTTTCATTGTCAGATTAATATTACCAACATGTGAAAACTAAAATTCACTTTTTATTTCGTGTAATGCAAGGTTACTTACCAAAGCCAACATATTCTTTCTGAAAGAAAATAACAACAAAGTATTAACCAGGTTTTTTTTTTTTTTTTAAACTTTTGGAGACTAAGATTTATTTCACCCCATCCTGCCACTAGGTCCCCCGTGAAAGGTCTCAGATAATTGTTTCTCTTTTATCTCCCAAATTTAATATGATCAATCGCACTTGCCTTCTGTAACTCACCAGTGTCATTGAAACATCTCGCTAGCAGATCAGCATGGACAAGGAAGATACTTATGTTAGGTTTTGTTAAACATACACTTCCCTGTGGTTCATTTTTAAATTATTTTGAAAAGAAAACAAAATGTTTTGTCAATGAAATAGGTTTTATTTCCGTTAAACCATGACATTGTTTTCCTGTCTATATGACACGCATTTTAATTTTATGATACAATTTTATACAGTTTGGTTAGTGCCACTAAATAACTTCACACTACTGGGGTTGGGTTGTGTTAAGAAAATGTTTTATTTGTAACACAGGCCACACGTTGAGGACCTTGCAGTGGGATAACAAAGCTCAGAATGCACTAACACAAGTATCTAGACCTGACGTCACTTCTACTCAGAGTTATCTCAGTCACACCACTTTTATCAGTATCTGTGCCCTGGGTCAAGTGCCGTGGTGCCCCAGTTCACAACAACCTCAAACTCCTGGGCTTGATTGATCCTCCTGCTTCAGCCCCCCAAGTAGCTGGGACTATAGGTACCCGCCACAACAACCTGGTAGGTTTTCTATTTTCTGTGCCCTGGGTCTCACTCTTGCTCAGACTGGTCTCAATCTCCTGAGCTCAGGTGATCCTCCCACCTCGTGTGAGCCACCACACCCCGCCACACCACTTTATTATTAATTCTTGGGTGTCCCGGACGTTCTCAGAGTATACCTAAACACCACATTTCGTGTACTCTGTGCACACCATTTTGTGGCCGTGTGTCCTTGGGAGTTAAGATTGGTATTTTCTGAAAAGCGCTTGTTTCCCTCAGCCTTCTTTTTACACATAATCCCTTTATTAGACCATGGATATTTTAGAATTGGTTGTCAAAAGTGACGTTCTGAGTCCTGGAAAGACTGCCTTTTATATTTAGAAGGCCAGAGCCTTCACACACAAAACAACAGTGCAAAATCAAAAAAGCAACAAAGAGGCAAGTAAATAAATGTTTTCTTTATGTATTAGTAATTAAATGGGATCAAAGATTTTACATGAAAGTGAGTTTATCTTTCCACGTACTATTAAGTTAACATAAAAGTTTACTATTAAAGTATGACCTCTTATTACTAACTCTGATTTGCTTATACATATCAGAATTGTGTTATTAAATATTTTAATTTATTTTTCTGTTTTGATTAGTTTTATATCAAGTCCAAATACTGGATTTATTTGGAAGAATCCAGAACTACATATTCTTTCTGCAAAAGATACTCTGATTTAAAAGTCAGGATTTCATGTACCAAGATTACCTACTTGAAGGAAATACTGGTACAGTTTTAGAGTCCCATAAAATTCTCCCTTAAAAAAATAATTATTAGAGAGAGTGTATAAACTATACATTTTCACTATAATTCAACTTAAGGGAAATATTTACTAACCCTTGAAAACCATCCTACTGCCCCCTACCAATTCAAAGATTAAATTCTGAATTGTTAAGTGTAGGCATTAAGAATTCACTTAGTTACCTAATAAGGACTGAGATTTGGGGGTAATAAAAAAATCCTGCGCTGCTAAATTCGTCACTTTAAATAGTACAGGAGTGATGTGCAGCAGCCCCAGCGTCTCCGCTGAGGGTGCTGAGGAAGCACCCCCGAGGCAAAGAGGAAGGCACAGCTGTCCAGGGCAGGGCCATGCCGCCTACAGGGTGTGACAGAACTCCCGTGGAACAAAGACGGGGACAGTGTCATTAGAAAGCCTGAGGAGGACAGTGCCACGAGGCCAGATCCTTTCCCCTAGAAAATAAAAAAGATCATCAGAACTAAGAAAAGCACAAGTGGTCGCCTGCCAGAATGCCCCCTCTCTCGTGTGTTAGAAGCAGTGTCAGACCCGCCGCTCAGAGACCAGGCTGCACTCACGGCCCGCCCCGCTGACGGATTCGGCCAGGTATGCGCAAGTTGTCAGAAAGAGCAGCCAAAGGCGCTTTCAGGTTGCAGTGGTTACGTTTAATTCTTTAATTAATATCCCTGATTTTTTCAGACTTTATGAGAAATCTGGTTGCAGTGGGGCTTAACCAGGGCTCAGGTCTCCTACATGGAGCACCCTTAGATCAGCCCTGTTAGCTCTGTGACTACTATCAACTCTGGCTC